AAAAATATTTTGCATAATAATTTCTTGCCAAAAAGCAAAACATTAAAAAACAATTTATTCATTTCATGCCAGTCATATGTAGCATCTTGGCATGAACCAGATAAGATCGTAAATTTTACACGATAAAAAGCTTTGTGCAAGGGACCGTGCAATCAATTTGAAAAAAGAATCGATTCAAAAAAACTCAAACTTTTCACTTACATAAATCGGGTCAGCGGAAAAGTGACAAACGTTGAAACAAAAAAGATATTATTCAATGCCAAAATGTGTGCCAACAACATTGTTATACTAGTCAGAAAGAAATATATATATACAGATAGCTTCAGTATCCCTCTTATCCATCTCAGAAATGATCTTATACTTTTATCATTTCTTGTAAGGAAAGAAATAAGAGAAACATTGCTTTTCAAGAAAATGGATTTTGTTACAGTTTGATAAATACGATTCATTTCTTCGATTTTAATCATTTATTGTCCTTAAAACTTTTATTTTTTTAGTAGATATGACTTGCGCTTTCAGGATTCCTTTCCTCCCAATTTAGGAAATACGTATTATTTCCTTATCATGAAATGGGTCATTTCCCATCGTTAAATTTTGTTCTTTTAAACATCAAAATCCGATTCCTTTATTTATAACAGCGAAACTTACTATATCTTACGGATATTTCTTGGTCTTACTGATACAGATTTTCAATTTATTTATATATTTTTAAATCCCTATAACAATATTCCTTTGAAACAGCTGTGTGATATAATAATGTCTTCCAAAATCAGCTTTACGTAAGAATAAACAGCTGAATAAAACTGGCATTGAATAATTAGTATTAAAAATTAATTTTTAAAATATCTTCTTACGCATTTGCCCCTAAAAATTGTTTATATTCATTTCTATTAGCAATAGAGGGGGAGAAAAAAATGTTTGTCGGCAATGGATTTTTACCTTGTTTTGAAAAAAATATTTAGCTTCTTAATACTCTTTAACATTTTTATAAAGTGATTATGAAAAAATCAATAAGGCACTCATCATGGAACATTTATTTTTAGTAACTAAAATCGTGAATGTCAAAATGTATGTTTGGTATTCTGTTGTAAATCATTTTTACAATTACACTGAAAAAAATTCTCATGCAAGAAATATTCTCTGCTCTAATTAAAATTATATGTTTTAGGAATAGTTTGCCAAAGTTTTCGTCTATTGGGAAGCATAGCTTTCCTAATGGGATTTTTACAAGATTTAGCTTGCTGTACAGTGGTTCTATGATTATATCGATGAAAGTGTATCTTATTTATAAGCAAAATAGATCGCTCTCAAATACTGAATATTCACCGAATACGCACTCTGCTTCAGTAGTCATAATTTTATTCACTTGCTGCATTAATAAAAATTTAGTGATAATTCAACAATTTAAAAAAGTAATTGGAGAGCGAGAAGTTTATGGGAATGCTATTTTACAATGACTGCTACACAGTGAATTACTTGTTTGTTGTAAGGATGTTATATTATTATCTCGTGAGCAATTATTTTCCTAATTTATTGTTCGAAAGCTTTAAAAAACAAGTTTTGAAAAAGGATACAATTTATTTAATAAATTTAATATTATGTGAAATAAGTGTAAAAAAATTAAGTCTCTTCTAATGGTAAATGCGCTTTCATGATTAACTGTTAATGAATTTACTGAGTTCACGCATTATCAGTAAGGAGTTAAAAACAAGTCGAGTTTAGTGAAGACTGCGATTTTTCCTGAACTCCTCCTACGAAAGTGCATTTTGCGCGCACCTAGTTTTCTATATTATTAGACTACAATTTCATGAATAAAATTTCGTATTTGTGAAGAGAATATTAATTTGGCTCGACATAAAGTTTACTAAATCAAGATTTCTGGAAATTCTGATTTATTTAATAAATGTTAATCGTTTAATAATGAGATGAAAGAAACGATATCGAATAACTACATTCTTTTAGAGAAATAGCAGGAAGAGTCGAATAATTAACAATATATTTGCAAGTTTAAAAATCTATACTGCAATAATACTAAATAATTTAAAATTTCTTTATGATACTATTACCATATTGTAAAACTGTGGTATCTTTCATATACGTTATTTAATGAAAAAAATATTTTAAAATTTTTATCAACACTGAAATTGTTATTTTCCCAAACAATTAAACGCTGAGTAATTTAATGCTTACTCTTTCTTAAGAGTTTAAAAATCTTACTTAAGTATTTTAATATATAATTCTTATCAAGGAGTAAATATGAATTTTTGATGTTTTAAAGTGCATTCTTTTATTTATTTGATGTAACTTCTATCTCTTTACATATGGCGAATGATAAAGAAATCCGTAAAATTTTCTTCTGTTTGAATGCTAACATTTGTTTCTGATTTATGAAGATATCTTTTTAGTTAATTAAAAAGTCCAAAATGTCTTTTAATCCAATTTTATAGCTAAATGTTACGTATTAGTTTTTATAGCTAAAATATTTCTTCTCTTTTTCTTATCACATAAATATCTAAATTCCACTGATGTTGATAAATATTTTATGGAAAATGTGACAATCTATTATTTGAAATTTCGAGGTTATAAACTACCTATGTCTCTTTTTGCGCTACAAATATATGATTATTTTAAGTAGTTTTCCTATGTCAGGACAGATGAATCTAAGAGGTTGCTCTAAGATATGAATTTAGTGTGTTACCTAATTTAGCCTTCGTTTCAATGAAATAAATTCAATTATTTTAATAGTCATTTTATTTTTATGTATCTTACTAAATATGCTGATAATGAAGAAAAAACAAATACGTTTCTATGCAGCGGTTAAAAAGGTATTGAAAAAGTAAAATGATGTTGTCATTTTATTTATTCAAGTGAAATGAATAATTAATACGCTTTATCAGCAGCCCACCACTTATACATCACCCACCTGTTTCAAATAGTTCAGCTTCCACTGTTACTGTTATCAATAAATTTCTTCGAAGTAACAATCCTGAAGGCGTTTTATGAAAAGCTCTTGCAGCATTAATACACAATAAAGTTTGATTAAGATTTGTAATTTCCTTTTCTTGTTTAAAAATTATGGACAAGTTATTTCATTACGTGATTATGACGTTTTACGACAATGTATATTTAGAATGTTCTCGGAAATCAGATAATATTTCCGCATAGCTATTAAACGGACTGATTTTATCTTTTACTAGCGGAAGTATCCGATGCCAGTTTAGTCAGATTGAGAGTAATGTATCTAAGAACAGCGAGAACGACGCCGCTTTAATCCTTCTCTAAAAACGATGCAAAAAATACGATTCATAGGCATACATTTTTCATCTGATGCTATATGGAACCCACATAAAAAAGTTCGATAGAAAAATAAACTAATTCTCTCTCATTATATCAGCAACAATGGCACGCAGTTTTGAATGATTTTCGTCTTTCTAATCAAATGGTCGTAAAATTCAAGTTCCATCCAATATTTCACATATATTCAACTGTATTCTATTAAATGTTGCAAAAAATTTATCATGACTGATCAGAAATAAATAACGCGAACAAACACACAGACATACATTCTTCTATGTATATATAGATAGATAGATTTTGTGAAACTTAAAAATTTTTGATTAACAAAATCTACGATTTGAAAGCGAGCAGAAGCAACACATTTCGAAGTAAAGCATTTTTATCTCCAACGAGCGAGAATGTTCCCACTCGGGAAAATGAACGCGAAATTTAGTGTTTTCAGAGTTTTTAATTAATATCTCGGCTGGTTAAAATCGTAAGAAGATGGGATTAGTCGAAATCGCTTCCCACTAATTTTTGGAATCGGGAATAATATATTTAATGTTTGGCAATGCTATTTTTGTTTCATTGTAAAACTTCGAATTTTTTATTAACAAGCTCTACGATTTCAAAGCGAGTAGTGGCAACACTTTTCGAAGTGAATCACATTTTTATCTCTAGGGTGCGAGACTGTTACCACTCGGAAAAATGAGGGCGAAAATTAGCGTTTTCAGAGTTTTTAATTAATATCACCGATTCTACGTTTTTTTTTTTTTTTTTTTTTTTTTTTTAGTCCAAAGGGGCTTTGTTTCTGAAGGACTATTGTTTTCATTTTGCGATTTTGCATTGGTTCACTATATGTGTACGTTTCACTTTTCAAACTGTTGCCACCAAATGTTAGAGTCCTGCATTATATTTGAAGAAATAAATAATAAAAAATATGCGTAAATGTATGTATATTTCTCACATTGTGGTAAAACAACGGTACACAGAGCCATCGAAATTTTAATGACGTTATTCTACTATGAATATGGGCATGTGGAACCCAATTTGAAATATGGAATTTGTTTTACTATCGATTTCATATTTTGTAAATCTTTAACGAATTTTTGATTAATAAACTCAAAGATTTCAAAGAGAGCAATGGCAAAGTTGTGCAGAAAAATTATTTTTATCTCTAGCGCGTGAGACTGCGTATCGGAAATTCTAAAGATAGGCTCAATTTAAAACTATTTTGAGATATTGCTCTTGAACTGGTTTTTATGGTTTACGTGCGAAGAACGTGATATTTAATAAATAAAGGAAACAGACACAATGTTAAAAAAAAGGTCCCTTTGGACGTAATTTAAAAACTGAAAGTGTTCAGATTTTTTTTGGGGGGGGGAAGTGGACGTCGACCTTTTCCAGAACCCAGAAAAGAATTGTAGAAAGTTTGGTGACGATAACCATATTAGTGACTGAGTTAATCGCGAACAAACATACATACATTCCTCTTTATATATATATATAGATTTATATTTTTCAAGAGCTAGAATTCTTTCAAATTATTGTCGATTATTTAAGATATATGGCCCAGAATGGTAAATGTAAGAAAGGATAATATATTTAGTGTTTAGATTTATTAAAATATAACCTTTTTCTGAGCACATGGTAGTACAAACTCATTAAAAATGCTTTATGTTTTTTTTCTTTTTTAATTATACGATTATTTTTCTTATTTGCAGATGACAAATATACAGTGTTGTCATCAGGAGAACTCGTTTTACACAAAGTGGACGATTCTGACGGCAAAAGTACTTTCAAGTGCAGGGCTAGACATCGGTTAACGGGAGAACTGGTACTTAGTCCAACATCAGGGAAAGTAATAGTGACAGGTAATTTATAGTTCATTTAAGACGATATATATTAGTCTGTTATCAAACAACTTAGAATAAAATATTTTATGAGTTACAAGCCTTTCTCTCAAGCATATCTTGATACCTAAAACCTGCTTTAATTTATTATTATTTGATAAATCATTTAGTATTTAAGGCAATGCAAAACTTACTCTTTAACTGAAATAGAATAAAAATTTTCATTGAAAGAAAATTTCCACAACTTAACCATTGGTATGCACGTGCTATTTACTTAACTATGAGATTAAAACAACTTGATTGGGAGCAAGGACTAATTTGATTATGATTTCCCGCGTGAATCCTTAAGAAAAACACTCCTTTGTGTTTAAATGCTCTACTTGTCCTGAGTTTTTTTAAATGCTAATACATTATATTGGTATTATATTGGATGAGTCCCTGTTACTACAGCAGTTTCAGTTAACCTGTGAGGATAAGACGTGGAGTATAGTGAGACCTGAGGTTTTACAACAGCACTTTCTTTATCATGGATACATGTTGCTGCTCATATACCTGGAGACAATTGTGGGCTGTTACGTTTTCGTTAGCAATTAGACTGAGGTCTCAAACACTCTTAAGTGAATGCTTATGTGAAATTTAACTGCAAAAATCTTACAATTTAGCATGATTTTTGATTTTTTAACACTAAAAGCAAAATTTCAGAAACCTTTTATAATAAACTGCGAGTTCTTTCAATTAAATTAAATTTTTAATATATTTACGAAATTAAACTTAAACTTCAGACTAAACCAAAACTGCCAGTTGAACCTTAGGTTTTTATTACTGAGCACATTATTATTCTTCATCTACATTCAATTAAAAAAGAACTCCTATGAAATATTAAATATATGTTATGTAAAAAAAAGTAAAATAATCTTTACTGTAGTCTCCGTTCAAAAATATAAATTGCTTTTAAAGCATATTCAATTCTATTATATCCAATTATTTTAATCCATTTATTTTAACAAAAAATATCTTGTAAACTATGAAAATAATACTTTCGAAAAATTCAGAGCAATTATAATGCAATAAGTTGAGTATCTACAAAGGAAGCGTTATTTTCGTTTCTAATCTGTAAATCCTAAATTTGTTCGGGAATAAGAGTATAAACTATGTAAATGAATAATCCTCTATCTGTATATGTTTCCAAATTAGATTGGATTTTTAAACAATTTTAAAATTAACAATAGCAGATATTTTCCTTAAAAAATTAAGATTATAACTTCAAAGAAAGTACAAAACCCTTATTAAAAATAGAAACGTTGTATTTATGTTTATGCACTTATTTAAAACCGAAATAAATACTGTTTTCGAAGAAATTAGAATTAAATCTTGAATATTTGACATATTATTGCACTTTCAATATTTCTATAAGTATTCCTAAGAACTCTAAAATTGTGTTAAGCTATGTAAACATGGTTATCTATGTATCGTTGCTGTGCATAATTATAATTGATCATAAAATAAAGGAGTTTCATTATATATTACATTTTTAATTTATAAATATTAGAATAAGAAATCTTCTTTATACAATGTAGTTAAGCTCTCTTTTTTTAATAAATCTACTTGCATAATAAGATAGGAAATCGTTTTAGAAATCCAAAATATATATATGAGATATACTTCTATCAAATTATTATTTAATTCCTCGTTCCCTAATTTAATTGTATTAACTACAGTAGTTTTACATCCATTCAAATTTCATTGCAAATTCATTTGCAATTCAATCATTCACTTTTATTAAGAAATTTAGGAATATTTTTAAATAAGAATGAAACAAAAATTTATAGCGTTCCAAATTTGACATGGTGTATTTATTAATTCGCTTGTTTGAATTAGGTATAATTTTTTCAACTGCAATCTGCTTTCACAAACTGTGAAAAAAGAACTTTTTCTTTAAATAATAAACATCCTTTCATTGCAGCTTTTATTTTAGTATATTATTAAGTACCGTTCTGATGTTGAAATGTAATACGGATTTTTATAATGCTGGGTGTTAAAGAATTAGGTAATACATTTTCAATTTCAAGCAACATTTTTATTTCCATGAGTCTCAAGAGATTATTTTTCCATAGCTAGATCTATTCGAAAAAATATTCAAATCGAATTCTTGAGGATAGGAAATACACGTTCGTAGGAAATAATAAAAGTACTATAAGAATTTAACTTAATACTTAGTTAACTTAGGACTTAATTTGTAACTTATAACTTAGGACTTAATTTTTAAGATTAACGTGTTCAAATTATTGCTTATAAAAGCAATTCCATGAATCTAATGAAATTTGGTAATCGAATATTGTCATAATCATCATTTTCCTGCATCTGTACAAATGAAAGAAATTTTCAAAATCTTCTTGGTAGATCGCTTTAATGTTCACGGTAGGCGATTCTAATCATAAAATATATTACTCAAGTAAGGGAAAGGAACTACAGAATTACAGAGAAAGGCGGAAATAAAGCACTGCTAAATTATTAGGCATATAATTCGATATGACTTCGATACTTATATACAGTGTTGTGCCATGTGAGACTATCAATTTCTTAATAATTTGTAAAACTTTGTAATTTAAAGTTTCTTTCAAAAGAAAGTAAGTTAACTTTTCTCCATGGTGCTTTATTTAAGCAAATAATGTTTTCTTCATTGAACACATTCCATCAAACTCAGCACAGGATTTGAAAAAAAAAAACGCATGTGTGCGATGTTATCGACATACCATGATTTATAGGTACTTTATTTTTTACTACGATATTTTCGACTACGATGTTTCTTTTTCGCTTTTTTTCTCGCACCATGTTTTGTACCACAACGTTTTCGCCTTGCTTTGCATTCTCCGCGATATTTTTGCAGCGATCTTTTCGGCTGTAAAAGTCGTGAAGTGTGTCAAACGGCTTCCTTATTAAAAATATTTGAATGGATACCGTCTTGCTAGGACATTCCAAACCATATGTATAAGAACACCGAAAATTAGTTTTTTAGAACTATTACGACTGTTAATTATTATCAAAGCCTTACCCTCTGCATATGCATTACTGTAGTTCTTGTTTTATGCAACAATGCAAGAAATGAGAAGTACATACATCGCACAAATATTTCTGGTATAAATTAGGTAATTTAGAAAATATATGTTAAAGCCAAATTACGGAACAAAGCAAGCATTTATTTTACATATTTAATGTATTTTTTCAATTATTTTAAGTAAGCTACTAAATTTTCTAATTCAAATAGAGCCGCATTCACCAATGGGTCCAAGAATAACTTTCAGCCAGTCGCAAGTGAGGGCCGAAGAAGGAAGTTATGTGCGAATCCCTTGTGTATCCACTGCACAACCAGCTCCAGATTATAGGTGAGTAATTGTGAACAAACAGCATTTAATTATAAGGAACTTTGAATTGCACTAGTCAATCATATACGGCGTTAAAATATCTCAGCATTTTGAACAAAATTGTGCCAAATTTTTTAGATATTCTTAAAAACATGCACATCTACTAGTGTTTTGCTATCCAAATCAGATTATACTTAAGGGGTGTTGGAACCCCAAAATCTTCAAAAAATTCTGATTTCAGATTTTTGCATTTTCAAATTCTTTACACTTTTATCTTTCTAAAAATACCTTTCTTTAATCTCTATGAGAATTAGAACTGTAAAAAATCTAGTTTTAATGCCATCGACTGCTTTGATCAATGAGAATTTTTACATAAAAACGCTTTTTTCCCGAAACGTGAATTTTTTATAATCGATGTACCTTTTCTCAGGAACTTCTTCTTACAGGTATCTAAAATTTTTAAGGCTTATTTATTAGGTTTCCTAATATTTACTGAAATGAGATTTTTGCGATAAACTTGGAATAAAAATTTTAAGTTTTTTTTGTGTGAGAAAAGGGCTAAATTTTACTATGCCTAACAAAATATTCTGTAAATTACTCTAAAATTCAAAATGTTTCAAAAGCTCATTTCAGTATAATCAGATAGGTATACTTTAATTACACAAAACATTTCAAGCGTGTATCTACAGCAGATTTTGAGAAGAGGTTATCGAAATGGCCAATTTAACATTGTCGGTATAGGGGTTTCTGATACCCCTTAAACTACTTTGACAAAGCGTCTTTAGCTTCTGCACAGATTTTTTTTTTTTTATATATATATATATATAAAGTAATTTATATCTTTGCTGTGTGTTAACAAATACTTTATTTTCTATTTATGTTTTATTTAATTTACATAGACAGCCCATTAAGCCCTATTTCATATTGCGATGGTCAATCTTTATACACGCTATCGATGTCAATGACCTAATAAAATGTGCTTGTTTTGTAGTTCAAATATTTAATCAGAATTTACCTCACGAAAATGAAACTCAGAATACTCCGAGGATACAATAGTGGCATACAATAAACGAGAATTCAAGTAATATAAAGTAACATATTTAACGTAATATGAGATTTATAAAAACACATTTTGTCTTTCAGAAATTATGTAACACATTTCTTCATTATGGTTAAAATAGAAAACAAATTCGTGAATCTAAACATATATCGTTAAAAAAATTGTTTCTAACGAAACAGATGTTCTAACTATCTGTTTCTTGTTGTTATATAAAAAAAATATTCTCTTAATTTTTAAAACTTATATCGTCGTCCAAATCACAATAAAATTACAGTGTTACTGTGTCGCATTTCAAATGTTTGGCACCGCTATATTTACTTTATAAAGTAATAAAAAGTAAAAAAAAAATAAATATAGAAGTGTAAGTTCTTAAAATCGGGAGCATAAGAACAGCAAAAATTTTAAATGAAAAGATATACATAAGTGTGCATAATAACAAAATCAATATGTGTATAGTATTGAATTTAGAAAAACTACGAACTTCAACTTGATAAAACTCAACAAGTATAATTAGAAAAAACTTCTGTTATAACGTGAAAAATGTAAAATAAAAATTGAATAATTTGAAAAGGAAAAATGTCGAAAATCAAATTATTTATTTTGAAATTATTCATTTTAACTTTTAAATTTTTTATGTTATAGTATAACGTTTTATAATTATCTTTTTTGAGTTGTTTCAGTTTGAAATTCGTAAATTTTTCTAAATTCATTACTTTAGCACGTTTTGGGCTTTGTCACTATTCGAATTTACATATATATTTTTTCATTTAAAATATTTGTTGCTCTTGTCTTACAAACTTTCATAATTTCACCCTGTTTTTAGTCCAAAGGGATTTCAATCCCGAAGGACTATTAGTTTCGTTTTGGCATTTTGCATCGGACGGATAAATGTCGGTTCACTTTTCAAACTGTTGCCATAAAATGTTAGAGTCCTGCATTATATTTGAAGAAATTAAATAATGAAAATCTGCGTAAATGTATGTATATTTCTCACATTGTCATAAAATAACGGTACATAGAGTCATCGAATTTTGAATAACGTAATCCTCCAACGAAATATGAGCATGTGGAAGACCAAATTTGAAATTTGAAATTTATTTTATGATCGATTTCCTATTTTTTAAAAACTTTGACGAATTTTTGATTAACAAACTCAAGGATTTCAAAGCGAGCAATGGCAACGTTGTGCAGAAAAAAAAAATTTTTATCTCCAGCGCGTGAATCTCTGTATCGGAAATTCTAAAGATATGCTCGTTTTAAAACTATTTTGCGATATTGCTGTTGCACTGGATCTTATGGTTTAAGTGCGAGGAACATGATATTTAATAAAGAAAGGTAACACACAAAATGTTAAAAAACGCCCCTATGGACGTAATTTAAAATCTGAAACATTTCAGATTTTTTTTATTATTATTATGTTTTATTTTTTATTTTTATTTTTCGATTCGAGAATTAGAATTGAATCAAATAACCCACTTACGTTCTTTGGCTTAATAGCCACATACATCTTTTACACAAAACTCCACGAGATTCCCTAAGATTTGCTTATCCTGTCCTCATTTTCATAGATTAAATGTCACACTTGTTTTCCATAATCTTAATTAGAACGTAGAGAAAAGTGGTGTTGCACATAAAATAAAAACAATGTAAAGTTGCTTTATTTCTTTGAGGATTGAATGTGCAATGTGAATTATAAGTGAACACGGATTTAAAGGTTATTAATCGTTTCTTCAAAATCTCTAGAAAAGAAGCTTTCATTAGAAATTTTATAAAAAAACTTAAAACGTTCCATTCGAAGATATCCTTATAGTTCGTCACAACCAATTTTTCATACTTTTGAACATACCAATATAAAATGAATAAAAGCTGGCTTCAACTGTACAGCTGATGAAGAATACGCAAATATACAGGTCTCGATTCTTTGAACCTAAACGAGGGAGAACTGTCTGGATGTAGTTGTTGTTCTTGGCCGCTGTTAAAAAGAACTATCCACTAACATTTTCACTGCCTAGAAAGAGCGTCTAGGTTCCTGATGTAACACTTTGAGACATATTCAGATCTTCAGCGATCTCCTTTTCATTTTGCCGTCCTTTCAATCTGTCTTTTGGGACATAGTTAATGAATACTGGAGTCATAACTAATGAATACCCACTATTCGCAATAACCTCATTAAATTTAAAAACACTATACACCTGAATTCCTGCAGATATCCATTGCGCAACATGTTTTGAATTGCCGAATTTGAGTACTTCATGCGCTAAGCTATCTGCAGAAATCCATTTCACTTTTAATTGTAGATTATTAGCAAAAACAAATTACACCACTGAAGAGTGACTGATAAGGTTAATCTGTCAGTATATTTTTTCAGGTGATCTTTCAATTTAGACGATCAGTGTACATAGTGAATTTACTCACGCTTTAATTAATTTGTGTTCCATACGTTACATAGATGATGTTTACAGTGTAAGCGTCGGCTGTCAGTAATTAAACAAATTTATTAATATTCACTAAAATTTTTCTTTTTAAATTCCCTTCGTATAATAGGAAAGGCTTTTATATTCTACGCTATAACTTCAGAAATTCATTACCAAGTAGTCTTAATATAAAGTAATCATCCTAAATTTTACGGAATTGGTTAAACCTTTAACTCATAAACAATAAGCATATTTTTAAAGCGAGCAATACGAATCATTCTTCAATACAAAGGGGGTATTTTCTGAATAAATTGAATCTCACATAACCTATCACTCTCACAAATCATTCGCGTTATAAACGAATACCACAGTTTTGTGAAACAAGTAATAGTGCTTTTAAGCAGTATTTAACAGTCTTCCTTTTAGTTTCTTTATTTCTAAGAAGTTTTTTTATGCTTAATTTTAAAATATTGCTATAAATACAGCTGAAATACTGAGCTGAAGAACACTACTCTTTACAACCGAAATACTGTACTTTTAACGGGAAACATGTTCCATTAAAACACAACTTTCAGATTTCTGCAGAGCTTTTCCCTCAGAGCCACACATTTTCCTTGATATCACCATCTTTTATTCTGTTTATCATAAGCAGCTGTAGTGTGCTCTCAAAAGTGAATCTGGAATTTTGCCAAAGAACTTGGTGCTTATTTAAATACGTAAAAGAAAAGAATTATGTAAAATAACGCATGCAAGACTACTATCTCTTAACGAAAAAGTGGAGCCTGAATCACAGGAGTATTTAAATTAAATCCGAAAGGAACTTTAGAAAAAAAAGAACACTAGAAAATGGACAAACGTTTTTTAAAAAAAGTGTATTTGAAAAAAGTGTAAATGAAAGATATAAAGGTGTTTTTTAAAACTTCTCAGAATTTGACAACATAAGAACAGTTATCAAAACGATGATTCATTTCACGTATTTCAATATATATATATATATATATATTTGAAGAAATGAAGCAAAATAACTGAAGCAACGTTACCCTAAATGAGGAAAAAATTAGCTTTTAACTTATATTTTTATTTTTATTATTGCATTTATGAATATGAAGTCACCGTTTCTTTTTGGATTACTTTTATTAAATGTAATTGCGTATTAACTATTTTAAAGTTAGATTTCCAGAGAATTCCATTAAATACATTTTACATTTTAAGTAAAATGTATTTAATGGAATTCTCTGGAATGTTCAAAGAAAATTGAATGGAAGAAAGGCACGTTTATGCTTTGTGCTGCTAATTATTGCTGTATATAAATCATTTATTAAAATTTTCTTTAAAGGAAAACTACGATCGCATTTTAATTTCCTTTGCGTCTGCTTGGTTGTCATAACAACCGCCTAATGAATTGCGTTTATGCTTGCACAGCAGCATTCAAGAACTAATTTCGTTCCTTAAACATATTCCAATCATAAAGGCGCTCTCTCTCTCTTTGTCTTTCTTTTACTCGTGAATTTCTTTTGAAGGTATTAACTGTTGATTCGTCATGGTGA